ATGCCTTGGGCTTCTAGTGTTGATTGAGTCAGAACTACCTTAAACAAGTCTCCAGGCCTTCCTTGGTTTTTGTTTATCTTTTTCTTTTTCATAAAATGCAGATGTATGACTCATTTCTTACTTGCTTCTAGCTCTAAAACATTTTGGTTATATGAGAAATGTGAAATATGGGCAAGTATTCAGATTAAAGAGTCACTTCAGGCTAATGAAGGGAAGAGATGATTAACAGAAACCAGTCAGGATAAATATGCAGTGACAGGTGGTTAGAAGACTGTAAGAGAGGATGCTAACAGGTGAAACTCCTTAATTATAGCTTCAAAGGTTGGCTCCCTACAGTCTGTTAATGAAACATCAAGGAAGCAAACAACTGAAATGTCAGAACTGCCTGTTCTGAGAAAAAACACCTCAGGTCATCTTTTCTCTGGCTGCACAAAGTGTGGTCTATCAAAAACACACAAAAACAATAATATAAATTATTATAAAAATTATTATTTTATAAAACCATTTTATAATATTATAAAATTATAAAACCATTTATGCTATAACCCAGAGAAAACACCTAACAGTGTTATCATTTTGGTATATTTCTTTCTTTTCCTATGTGCATAATAAATTTTTATTTAAAACTATATTACATTTATGCATTTTGATCTGAAGCATATTTTTAAAGGCAGTATATCCAATCGTGTCGGTATCCCAAAGTGTAACTGAGCTCTCACTTTTGGACACTAAAGCTGTTTTAAGTCTTCATATATTATAAAAAGTGTTGCAACAAATATATGTAAAACCTAGGGCACACCTCTGATTAATTCCTCATGATAAACTCTAGAAGCAGGCTGAGTCACTGGGCACAAATATTCTTATAGCCCTTCTGACACACTGCTAGACTGCCCTTCAAAACGGTGGCACCAGTTTTCTAAAGGATTTAAAAATAAATTGCATGAATCATCTGCTCCTATCTTTCAGTGCAAGACAGATGGGGTTTGCATAAGAGATAAGTTTCTTAGAAAACAGCAGAATTAGACAAAGTAAATAAATCACATAGCTAAATTAGCTGATAATTAGTATGGTTTAATAAATAATGGGTTTTACAGGCTGTAAATTTTGTTTCTCTGAGTTATTTTTTGGGTTTCTGACATTACTGAGTTTTCATCATGCTGATAATCAAAGTCTGTACTCTGATTATAAATCATTGGTATTTAGAATCCTGATTTAAGTTGCCTTTGAATCTAGGATACAGTCCCTAATGGCCACAACAGTTAACCATTTATCTATAAATGAATGATACCTGGGGACAGAAACTCTCTTAAGAGAGACCTGAAAAGTCTAATTAAGAAATGTTTCTGGACTTCCTTGGCAGTCCAGTGGTTGGGACTTTGCCTTCCAATGCAGGGGGTGCAGGTTCGATCCCTGGCCGTGGAGCGAAGATTCCACACTGCCTCACGGCCAAAAAACCAAGACATAAAACGGAGGCAACATTGTAGCAAAATCAATAAAGACTTTTAAAAAAACGGTCCACATCAAAAAAATCTTAAAAAAGGAAATGTTTCAAACTAAAAGCACAAGTATTGGTTAAGTCATTTTAAATGCCATCTTGACACTAAAACAAGCAAACAAAGACAGATCAAGGAAAAAGGGGAAAAAATTAAAGGAAAAAATTCTAAAATAAGAGGTAAAAAGCAAAAAGATAAAAATAAAAGTAGAAATGCTGAGGCATATTCCATAAATTAGAAAAATCTAACTTAATGGGAACATTAACAGAGGTAACAGAAGTAGAGTCAGTGGGGGGAGGCTGCAGAAACTAAGAACAAAGACAAGGGAACAAGTAGGAAGAAAAAAGTGAATAAATGGTCAAATATCATTTTATGTTACAATACAGTGTTATAGCTACCTTCTTCTACACTATTATTCAGCCACCTCAACTAAGTAGGACATAGCTGTGACTAGAAAGCAAGGGAAAAAGGATTCTCACAATAGCCAAAACTACTAAAGTGAGTGCTTCTCTCAATACGAGTAATCACTTCGTCCATACTCTAACAGAATAGAATGTTAAGAAGGCTGGTTATGTTTTCTCTGTCAGTAGCATATGAAAAGTATATCAGAAGCAAAAGGAGACTGCTTGAGACGGGTACACCATCACATTTACCAGAGATAAAGGACACGTACACACACATACACACGCATACACCATCACCACCACCACCAATGACAAAAAGTTCAAAAGCTGAAAAAATACAGCAGTCTGAAAACATGAGAAGGGGCAAACAACCCAGAGCCTCGCAATTAGCCCTAAATGCATCAGAGAATGACACCCCTAAGAGATGAAAAATATTTAAATTATGATCAGTGAGCTCTGTTTAAAACAGAAGGCACAGACCACACTTAAAGCAGTTTCCACCCTAGATGATTAAAACAAAAAAGTGGAGATAGGCTTCAATACCTGAAAGTGTTACTTAGGTTAAACATCTCACTCTCTAGTCAAGATAATTACAGTACAATAAAAATAATGAAACGGGGGGACTTCCCTGGTGGCACAGTGGTTAAGAATCCACCTGACAATGCAGGGGACACTGGTTTGATCCCTGGTCTGGGAAGACCCCACATGTCACGGAACAGCTAAGCCCGTGAGCCACAACGACTGAGCCTGCGCTCTAGAGCCCAAGAGCCACAACTACAGAGCCCACGTGCCACAACTACTGAAGCCCGCGTGCCTAGAGCCCATGCTCTGCAACAAGAGAAGCCACCGCAATGAGAAACCCGCGAACCGCAACAAAGAGTAGCCCTCACTCACTGCAACTAGAGAAAGCCCACGCGCAGCAACGAAGACCTGACGCAGCCAAAAAAAAAAATTAATTTTGAAAAATAATGAAACAGAGCAACAGATGGTAAAGAAACCTTAATTTTGAACGTGAAGAAGATAAAGAAACCAGATTTTAAATCTATCTGAATCATGTAAACATGCTATTAAGTGACCTAGTGTGGCTTGTATTTCCGTACACAATGTGTAACGATACGGTGTTGAGAGCACACTGACGTGTCACATTTGCCTAGGTATGTGTACTTTTGTGCCACTTGAATATTGGTCACTTGTGCTCCTCTAAGAAATTCAAAAGCCACATAAATAAACAAACAAAAAACCCACCTGCTATCACCTGGATCCCTTCAATACTTCACACAGAACTAGGATTTGCACCTTTTCACTAATAGTTACAACAGAGAGCTGCAGTAATTTTGGTTCTCAATCAACAATTTATATTTGGCAAAATTTTAGCACTTACTATGGGCCAGGTACCAGCTCTATGTAAATGTAGCAAATTTAATCATAGAAACTTAAAGAGTCCAGAATCATCTAGAATGTGCAGTTATATAATCAATTTTCTATTTTCAACCAGTTTCTCCAGTCCTAATAAAAATGGCAATGTATATTTCTTTATCTGGTATCATCATCGTTAAAAAACAGACAAAATCCCAACTTTCTTTTTCTCTGTGAATGAGATATAATTTTATCTGTATTATATTATCATTCTCAGAAAAACACCATGTCAGAATTAAGAAAATGTTAAGAAATTTCAGCCCAAAAGAGTAATATTTTGAGATACCATGTGAAAAAAACTCAGAAGAGTATTTAAATAAAACTATACTTTTTTTCTGCCAAAACTTTGTTTTACAATGCAGCTGATTTTGATATGAGATAACCAGATAACATTGACCAAATATACTAAGACCTTTCTTTAGACATCTAAATCTATATCTAGTGAGCCTTCTAGCTTTCTAACTTTTAATGTCATGGTAACATGTAAGAAAAAGCACAGAAAACAAACATGCACCCATGAAGTAATCTTGCCCAAAAGCCTGTACTTGAATCTGTTGAAGGCTCTGTATCTTTCAATTAAAACAAAAAATGTAGGGCACAGAGGAACACCACGGGGATGCAATCATCAAAATCTAGTCCATGAGAAATGCCACAAGACAGATGACCCAGTTTCTTCAACAAATCAATTCACAGGTTTTCTCAGCACTTCATGAAAACCCACAGCTTCAATCTCACCTTTGTGAAACCTGCTAGAGTTTCTTACTCCATGGATACTTGTATTAGGGCACTTTGAATGTGGGTCTCCCACTACAGGATGAGCATAGTGGAGTACAAAAGAGTAGCTTAGAAAGGGCTCTGAAGCTACCGCCTGAGTTGAAATCCCAGCTTCACCCCCTCAGTTAACTCATCTATAAAACAGAGAAAATACCACCTGCTGCTCAAAGAAATTTTAAGGATTCAGTGAGAAAATATATGTACAGCACCTAGCACAATGCTTGGCATATCTTAGGCAGTGAAGGACTATCTAATGAGTGAATAAATGAAAATGATAAGCAGAAAAATTAAGTAATTGTGAATTTTATCTCCTTCAACTTCATCTAACCACCTTCTAATAGTATCTAGTGAACAGTAAAATGCCAAAATGGTAAACAGTAAGAAAAAAATTAAGGAAAGATAAGTGAATAAATAGGTTATCAATTTCTAAATAACTACACTTGAATCTAAGGTACTAAAAAACTGTTTAATCATAAGAAATACCACCTGATAAAGCATCGAGTGATTAAGAGCTAAACTTGACCAAACCCGGTAAAAGTGATGAAATTTATTTTCTAATTAAAAGTGATCAACAAATCACCTTCAAGCATAATTTTTAACAATATAGAAAACATTTTTAAAGAATTTTTTAAATGTCCACATTACTATTCTGAATCTTTTAAGAGTTTTCTTGTTTTAACCTAAAAAAAAAAAAAAAAAATTAAAAAATGAATTCAACCAACTTTTCCATCTGAACAGTAGGTGGCATAACTTACATACTCTGAGCCAGTTGCTGTAAAATGAGTGGTATGGTAGTAAAAAAACCAAAAAAGTTCAATAGACCATCATCCAAAATTCTGAAAACATTCATTTAAAAGTGTTTAAAAGTCTTAATTTGAAAATAAAATCTTTCAAATAATATAAAAATACTTACATCTCAATTTGTCCAGCATTTTTCCACCACACATGGTTGCTAACATAGCTTTAACTGAAAATACCGTCAACTTGCCTCGGCCCTCACTGCAAAATAAATTATATTAGAAATAATTGCTATCTGGAACCACAAAAGCAATCAAATGTATCACCAGTATATTGATTCCTGCCCTTCTGTTACAATATTACCACATTTAGAAACCTTGGATTCTTTTTTTCCTTTACAGAATTAAGGCTTCACATATGCTATGTGAACAGTGTTAAAACTAACCTGGTTTATTTGGCAATGAGTTTAGAAACACCCTATAAAGCAACTTCTGTTGGCTTTGTAGGCAAAGGCCAAATGAATGAACCTAAAAAACATCCTACCAACTGAGCCCATTAAATCCACAGCTGAGGTGTTTAAGTATTCAAATCTGAGGCACCACCTGGTTTGAATAATAATTCAGAAGTGTGTTCTTCCATCAGGATATTATAACAACAGTTTATTGTTACGTACTAAGGCAACAGGATGCATGTTGCTATAAAGATTTTATACTATCTTCATCTTTGCTTGTTTTCACTGTAACAACCTTTATGTTACCATGTGTTTATTCTAAGAAGTTCATCTGTCTCATCTGAGACATCTGTGTCAGATCTCCTGCCACCACTGTGAGAAAAGTGAAGGGGAAGGGACAGTATTATGAATTCTTCTTCAGGAACTAGAAAGATGAAATGTAGACCATAAATGAACTACTCAAAGTGACGCTATACACCACCTGCAGAGCCAGGACAATAACAGCAAGGCCCCAACCCCTGTGGCCACTGCTCCAACCATTCAACTATGTCCTGGTTTCAGAGAAGATGAAAACTTCACTAGCCGGTTTTTAAAGTCACATATGTAAATTAACAATGGGCTTTCGTGTTAATTTTATAAAGCTTGTGCTTACAAAGTTTCACAGTGACTTAGAGTAAAACACCTTTGCAATAATGAGAACTATATCATCTTGGTTTTGAAAAGAAAATGTCATCCTATTTATATTTACTAATGGTCCTAAGAGTGTCTCCTATTTTCCAAACCTTCTTTTTGTATACAGTAAGATCACATCTGAAAAAAGGCAAATGGTCAATAAGCCAGAAAATTCTCAGTGAAAATACTGCCAGGAGACACCAATGTTTGTTACAGCTGATTTTTAACTATTACATCTCATTAAGTTTACTCATAAGATAAAACAGGAATTCCCCCAAAACTAGCTAAAATTAGAATGGGACTTTTAATATACATAGATCATCAGAAATACAGATTCTGTTCCATGTCTTATGTAGCACCTGGCAATATATCACCTGGAAATGATAAAAAATAGTCCTATGTCAAATATTCATTGCATTATATGAGCAACGTGAGTGTCTATAAAGAGCAACAACTGTGTTAAAAGTGATGGATTTCCAAGACTGATACAGACCTTTTACAATGGACATTTCTTTTTGGTCGCCAACCATCCAAATGCTGAGTCTACATTTAAGCACACCCTACCTTATATGACAAGTATATGTCCCACTACCAAAGTATGAAGAAGGAAGAAAAAAAAACTTTCCCATCTTTCTTTGAAACTAAGACAGGGGCACATAATACAAGCTCCGCCAATAAGATGCACCGCTCTAGACCTCAAACAGAAAACAATTAACTTGTAGAAGAACTCCAAAGAATCCACCTGGCGAGGATGTCAGCAGTAGGAGCAGTACATCCAGTGTCCTGAGAGCTGGGACAGAGATTCTCATGGCAGCAACCAGAGCCCAGCATCAGTGGCTTTTGGAGCACAAGCAGCAGTATCTATGCCCAGCTTAGCTGCAGAGGGACTTCCTGAGACCAGTTTTGTGATATGATTTTGAGCTTTGTTCTTGGCAGTGTGGTCATCAAGCCTACTTTCCCAACCTTCTTAGAAAGCCGACTGGTCACCCGTATCCTTTTAATGAATTAGCCAGAGATGGTTCCTACTGCTTACAACTAAGAATTCTGATGGATGCAGCTTCTATCCTGAAGTAAAGTGGCCCAGAAAGATGAAGTGACAAAAGAAAGTATTCCTGAAGCTCAAAGCGAGAGTAAGCAAGCCTGATGACCAGCAGAGCAAGGATGAGGAGCAAGTGCTCACCAGCAGAAAAGTCAAGCCTTGCTGCACAGCTAACGACATTTTTTAAGGTAAACTTGCTCAAAACATTTTTTGCAGACACAGATTTCATGACTTAAGAATACCCAGGAAATTCCACAGGGGAAAGTAAAAACTAATCTTAAAAGAGATTTCCACAGAAATCAGGATACTGATTACCTCTGGGGGAAGAGAGAGGAGTTGTAACACAGAAAGGAGAACACAAGGGGCTTCTGGGGTGCTGACAACATTCTATTTCTTGGCCTCCGGAGTATTTATATGGATATTTGTTTTATAGCAATTCATTAAACTGTACTTTGTTTTAGGTATTCTTCCGTAGGTGTTTTCTATTTCTGAATAAAACCTGTTTTAAAAAATGAATCCTGGGACTTCCCTTGTGGTCCAGTGATAGAGAATCCGCCTTCCAATGCAGGGGACGTGCGTGCGATCCCTGGTCAGGGAACTAAGATCCTACATGCCACGGGGCAACTAAGCCCACGCATCACAACTACTGAGACTGCGCACCTCAACTAGAGAGCCTGCGTGCCGCAAACTACAGAGCCCACGTGCTCTGGACCCTGCGCGCCACAACTAGAGAGAGAAAACCCCCATGCCACGACTAGAGAGAAGCCTGTGCGCCACTACAAAGAGCCCACGCCACAACAAAAGATCCCGCATGCCTCAACGAAGACCTCGCATGCCACAACTAAGACCCAACGCAGCCACAAAAAGAAATTAAAAAAAAAAATTTTTTTTAATGAATCCTGAGGGACTTCCCTGGTGGTGCAGTGGTTAAGAATCCACCTGCCAACGCAGGAGACACGGGTTCCAGCCCTGGTCTGGGAAGATCCCACATGCCGCGGAGCAACTAAGCCCGTGCACCACAACTACTGAGGCTGCGCTCTAGAGCCGGCGTGCCACAACTACTGAAGCCCGTGCGCCTAGAGCCCGTGCTCTGCAACAAGTGAAGCCACTGCAACGAGAAGCCCGCACACCGCAACGAAGAGTAGCCCCCGCTCACAGCAACTAGAGAAAGCCTGTGCACAGCAACAAAGACCCAACACAGCCAAAAATAAATAAATAAATACTAAAATTTATAAAAAAAACAAAATAAGAATCCTGGGAAAGTGAGGGTTACCATTACTAGACAAAGGTAATGGTTTAAAGGAGAGAATAATGAAAGGGAAAAATACAGGCTAAAAAATATTTAAGATATATAAACTGCAATGCATAACATTTTCCATAATGAAAATTTCCATAATAAAATATATAAAAAGAATAAAAACATTAAAAACCCCAAGGCCCTGGCCCCAGCTTTAGATGTCTATTAATAGAAGACTGGCTATTAGGCTATCATAAAAAAGAATGATAAAAAAACATATGAAAGATAGAGAATTATATCCAAGATAGATTACTTAAAAAAAAAAAAAAAGCAAGGCATGGAACAAAATAATTGCTAGAATGCAATCTAGCAATTATGTTAAAAAGGAGAGAGTAAAAAAATATTTTCATATATTTGTATATGCATAAGCTGTCTGAAAGGATACTGACAAAATAACATTAGTTGCATCCAGGGTCAAAAGCAGGCAGCCAAAGGAAAGCAATGAAAGAGTGGGCACTTTTCACTTTATAAATATTAAATGTTTATACTAGAAGAGAAGGTTCTTAAGCCAATAACCTAAGCTTCCATCTGAAGACTCAAGAAAAAGAACAGCAAATTAAACCCAAAACAAGCAAAAGGCAAAAAATAATATGAGTAAGAACAGAAATCAATGAAATTGAAAACAGGAAATCAATACAGAATATTAATGAAACCAAAAGCTGGTTCTTTGAATAAACCAATAACATCGATAAATCTCTAGCCAGACTGACTAAGAAAAGAAAAGAGAAGACACAAATTACCAATATCAAAAATGAAAGAAGGGATATCACCACAGGTTTTCTAAACATTACAGAAACAATAAGGAAATATTACAAAAACTTTATGTCCATAAATTCAACAACTTAGATGAACTGGAGACACAAACTACTCCTTGAAAAATAGAAACTATTAAAGCTCACTCAGTAAGAAATAGGTAGGGCTTCCCTGGTTGCGCAGTGGTTAAGAATCTGCCTGCAGGGCTTCCCTGGTGGCGCAGTGGTTGAGAGTCCGCCTGCCGGTGCAGGGGACGCGGCTTCATGCCCCGGTCCGGGAAGATCCCACATGCCGTGGAGCGGCTAGGCCCATGAGCCATGGCCACTGAGCCTGCGCGTCCAGAGCCTGTGCTCCGCAATGGGAGAGGCCACAGCAGTGAGAGGCCCGCGTACCGAAAAAAAAAAAAAAAGAATCTGCCTGCCAATGCGGGGGACACGGGTTCAAGCCCTGGTCCGGGAAGATCCCACATGCCACAGAGCAGCTAAGCCCGTGTGCCACAACCAATGAGCCTGTGCTCTAGAGCCCATAAGCCATAACTACTGAGCCCATGTGCCACAACTACTGAAGCCCACGTGCCTAGAGCCCGTGCTCCACAACGAGAAGCCATGAAAATGAGAAGCCCGTGCACCGTAACGAAGAGTACCCCCCCGCGCTGCAACTAGAGAAAAGCCCACGTGCAGCAACGAAGACCCAACGCAGCCAAAAATAAATGAATTTTTAAAAAAAGAATAAGAAACAGGTAATCTGAATAGGCCCATATCCATTATAGAAGTTGAATCTGTATTTTTAACCCTTCCAAAAGAGAAAGCTCCTCATTCAGAGAGCTGTACTGGCAAATTCTAAACATTTAAAGAAGAAATAATTGCAGTTCTACTCTCTTCCAGGGAATAAAAAAGGAGGGAACACTTCCCAATTCTTTTATGAGGGCCAGCATTATCCTGATAACAAAAACGCATACATACATTACAACAAAAGAAAATAAGAAGTCGGTATCCCTCATGAACCCATACACAAAACCTTCAACAAAATGTGAGCAAATCGAATGTAGC